ATGCAGCGTCGTCGTAACTGATTCATAAAAAGCACCTGAAGATGATATCTGAAGCCAAGTAAAGCGAAGACTCTAAGATTGTGAATCTTTTCAAAACCTTTTTTTTCGATGAAAAACAAAAACATCAGCAAAAAATACTCTAAACCAAGTTCGTCTCGTCCCCTTTTTTCTTTTTCATTTTTCCACTCAAAAACATAACGACGAAGAAGCATTTTTTTATTTTTTATTTTTTTTCTCTCTGCATCTGCAAACGACGTTCAATATTTTTGTTTTTTTTCGGCTAAATTCTCGTAACTAATCTTAAATTTTCTATATTTAATCTTTCATTCCTGAAAGAGACTCATATCTTCTTCTTTTTGTCAACTTCTCTCCAAAGCTATGAGCGATCCATATCGTCACAATCTTCTCTGCAGCTGCAGTCGTAATATTTCACAGACCATAGACACTGTATTGATACTTTCTACACAAAAACTCATGATTCTCTGAAGCTTATTGTTACCTACTTTTTCTCATATCATGCGATTGTTGTTCTTCACTTTCAGATAAAGAACATAATCGAGACATGTATTCAAAAGTACATGAGTTTGGAAGAAACGGTGATATATCTGCATGACAATCACAATATTAGTCATCATCTCACCAAACCAAGTATATAATCTCTGTTTCTATTTGAATCGATTTTGTGCTTGTTTATAAACAATTGAATTTTTGTTTCTTTTATTAGTATGTGAACAGATTTAGAAAGAGAGTCCAGAGTTTTTCAACAAGTACCACTTAAAACGGGAATTAGCGCGTTATATAACGATGTGTAACAGTTTTCTTGGAAAGCAAGTTTCTCTGATAGTCGAGCATGGAGCTCTTGATATCAATTATGCACCATGTACGTAACAAGGACTAAAATCTTCTTATGGATTATTTACTGATCGATTTTGTGAACTGCTTCAGTTATTGTTTGTGTCTTTAGCTACACTCAAGAATTTTCTTCGTCAAGATCCTGAAGGAGCTCATCTCTTGGAGAAACTAGCTAATACACCTTGTAAATCTTTCTACCGAAGATATCTCTAAAGTTCAATAATTTTTTGAAAATTGGGTGTGTTTTGTTTGATAACTCTTTGCATTATGTAGCGAATAGGTCAGACGTGAGTCCTTCAAGCTTGGCATTGGATGATACAAATGGTCCAACAGGTAAAATCCGATATACATAAATGGTACTAGAGTCATGCTCGAAAACTCCATTTCTTGCACTTTTGACATCTAAGAATTCTTTAAGTTTTTCTGTTTTGTAGTAAACTAGTGGCAGATTCCTAATGATCAGCAAAATCAGTTTCATCATTATCAATAGTCTACTACAACTAATCATCTACAATGTAAAGAAAATACTCAAACCTTTCTCTCTTTCTAAGTATTGAGTTTGTTTTGTTTGATATCTATTGCATTTTACAGCTTCTAGGTCAAGATTGCAGATAGACAAAAAACTCGATTTCCTTCACTTTTGACTTCTAAAGCTTCCTTTGATTTCTCTGTCTTGTAGTAAACCGGTTGCCGATTCCTAGTGGTTAGCAAAATCATCTTCATCAAAATCAATGGTCTACACCAAATAATCATGCTTGTAAAGAAAACCCTCAACCTTTCTCTCTTAATCTTTAAATTGTTTATAACACTTCTACTTAAGCATTTTTATGAATAACTCTACTTTCTTTCTCCATAGGTACCAACCTTGGCGCTCCTACCGTTCCACCAGCAGCTAATGATCAATGGTTTACTTATAGTGATCCTGCGTGTAAAGAAGACTCAATCTTTCTTTTTTAATCTCTCATTTGTTTAATGGGTTTATATAGGTATAATGTAGGAGATATGAAAGTGTGTACACCAATAAAGTACTTAGATCATAGTTTAATGGTTATGTTGGTTAAATGGTTCTTTATTACAAAACGTTAGCTAAATGTATAATATCCTAAGGAGTCATAGCTAACAATCAGATCTTTTTGGTATTTTCGTCAACAAATATGGATTGAAGAATGTTGTTTTGGTATGAGATAATCTTGTAGAAATTTTGCACAAAAAAAAAAAAGACACTGTAGAAAATTTCTTGACAAGTGTTAATTGTTAATCAAATAGCATGCTCCATGGATGTTATTTTTCAAAACAGAAAAACTATGTGGAATTTTGCCGAACATATGCAAGAAAGATGAAGTAAATTATTTTAATTCATTTTGTTCAAAATATTGTCATCCTATAATCTACATAGGAATAATCTTTACGGCTACAATGAAGATTGAATGTAAGAGAATCTATGTGTCGCAAGGTTCCTAATTTTTTGATTATAGAAACAAATATATAAGTTATAGTGGGAAAATGTCAGTTATTTTAATTTGATTATTTATTAAGTATTAGATAACTATAACAAATAACTATAACTATATAATAATTGTGAAGCGAGAAATAGTTTTTCGTTAAAAAAGTCAGAAACAGTATCAATAATTTAACAAATGATTTACATATAATTCTGGATTTTATATTAAAGCATATAATATATTACTATTTCCCCTAGTTTGAAGAAATTATATATATCTGTTCATGCCTATAACATGTAAACATATATACATACATAGTTAACATATTTTGTTAACACTAAGTGTACGTGTACACATCTGCATATCAAAAAGATTTATTTCTTTTGCCAAATAAATGATTAGCATTATATATATATAATTTTGGTTTGAAAAATTATGATACCACTTAATGATTTTTTATTTAGTATAAATTCACCATCAACATATTTGTAGACATTTTATTAATTTTTCAATAATAAACTAAATGTATTACTTTATGTTACTAGGAACATAATTGTAAAATAAAGGTATTACTTTATGAATATTGGTTTAGTTTTTGGAAGTCAAAATAGATTAATTGTTCTTATTTAATTTTACAGTCAAAGCATCTTAAGAAACTAGTTTATGTATCAAGTTCTCTATTTGATATTTCAAACAAAAATCTAGGTTCATTTACACGCATTCTCAATTCATGTTGTTTCTTTACATTCTCAATTCATTTTTGTATGAGGTTGATTTGAAAAATATTTAAGCTTTTCGTTCGAATTGATATAACGAAGAGTCTTTGTCTTCGGTCTTATATTATAAGTGAGCATTTGTCTTGGGTTTGTCTTATAATATGAGGCCCATGATTTTTCAAAATATGAACTGGATATTAAAAGTGATGTGCCTTCTGTGAAAAGTTGGAAAATAAAGGAGATGGTTTATTTGGACAAAAAAAAGGATGGTTGCTCTTAAGAAAAAGGATACATAGAAGTACAAGTTTTTGTCAATTTTAATGCAGAAGATTATATTAGTAGGTATAAGAAATATTATTTAACATTTCTTTTCCCTATTATATGGTCTTATAGTTATCCGTTTTCTATAAAATATTGTTATTATTTAATATATGGGTGATTTAAGTGTATAACTAAATCTGATAAACAAATTAAGAATATAGCACCTTAATTTTGAAAACAAAGGAAATAACCATCAGACATTGTAAAATGACAAAACAATCCATATGTGTAGTACACGTGTGATAGGTGCTAGAGAAGGTGAATTTAAGTTTCATTTTGTTATTTAATTTTTCTTTGGTTTGAACTTTGAACAAAAAACGTTTACCCAATTTGTTTTCAGAAAAGTTCTTAAAAATAAATAAATTAAAATTTTCAGTTCTATTAGAAAAAGTTTAGATTTTTTTTCTGAATATATCATAGGGTGAATTTTTCAAAACGGACATAAACATTTTACGTGGTGAATAGTCTTTGTAACAAAAAAACATATGTTATACTATATAGGATCACACAAAATAAATGTTGTACTATACTATTTCTTATAAATTATATTTGAATCAACTTAAACTTAAAAATACTAAACCCTAAATCCAACCGTCTAAACCCAAACCCAAAACATATCTTTTAAAATTGATGATATAAATAAATTTTAAAATTGAAAATAATGAATTTATTTAGAAAAATAGAATAGAACATTGTAGTGTTCTATATAGTACGATGGTGGTAGTAGAGAATACAAAATACTAAATAATTGTATGAGTCATGCGGCATGACAAAGAAGAAACACTATATCTTAAGTGATGCAACATAGAGAACCCAAATTAAAAACCAAGTTAAATGGATATAAAATAATACAACATGAAAAACCTAATTTGCCATGTTAAACAATCATGAATTCAAATTAATATTTGTAAAATATAAATATAAGGTTAAAATATATATATATATAGGTTAAGTTTATAAAAGATAAAAAGAAAACAATTGAAAAGAATTTATTTTTCATTAAGTTACAATACTATTCCATTTGAAACAAATCTATTCCATTTGAAACAAGTCTATTCCATTTTCATCTTCCCCTCTGTCTCTCTTTATCTCTCCTTCATTCCTATCCATCTCTATATTGCTTAGATATTTATCTACACCCCTTATACTTTTTGCTGCAATAGGGAATTGAACTTTCTTTTCGAGGATTACTTGCCATGACTCACAGGTTCGAAGGTCATGGAGCGGGCCGAGACAGTGGGTTAACTCGTCCACCAAATCAAATCGTTTTAATGGTATACTCCGCGATGGCTGTGACTTCTACATCCACACAAAGTGGCAATCGGATAAGATTTTACAACATCGGAATAGGACGATCGAACCTTTACCGATGATTACATCATCATCTCCTTAAGGAAGAGGACTTATATAGACGATTATATTGGTGTCGTTGTTGACTGTTTTTTGGCGATGACGGAGAGAGATATGGCGGTCGTGAAATAAGTTGCAGAAAAAAAAATAGGAAGAGAAAAGAGATGATAGTTTGAGGTTAAAGACATGATGTGTTAGGTACGTGTATTACAACAAGGGTAAATATGTATATATTACACAATGTATGCCAAATATTATAGCCCAATTTTTTTATGGTTATTTGTTGAATTATTAAATTTTTGATGGTTATAGGCTCAAATTTTCCTTAATATATTTGGTGACCAATTAAATTGGAAATAAAGGAGTTAATTCCTATTAAATCTCTACTTTGATGGACGGTTGAGATTAACCCTAAGGAAACTCTAATGAGTAATAGGTCCTCTCTCCACCTATAAATATATACCTTTAGACCATCATAAAAGTATCATAAAACACAACACGTTAAAAGCTAAGTTTATAGGCAAGGTGAGAGAAACATAATCTCCTAACCTAAAAGTTCAAGAATACCGTTTAGGAAGAAATCTCTGCGACAATAAATGGAGATAATCCGATAAACCTCGTAATGATTCTATTATGTGATTAACTTAGATATTTAAAGATCTTAGGGTTCATGTATAATTAACTTACAGTAGGATTTACTGTAGACCGGCTAAGAGCATAAGCACATCAAACCATTGCTGAGAATCTCATATTGTTAAATCACTATTTTTAGGAGAACATTTTCAAAAAAAAAAAAAAAAATTAAATTAAGCAAAAAGCCCAATATTTTAGTTGTGTGTAGGACATCTAAGAAAATTTGGAAAGATTTAATTGAACCGGCACAAGATTTAATCAAAATGAACGAAATGTGCTTTATAGTTTTTCTGCCCATATTAATTAATCAATTGGCCGACCAAATTTTCCAACCAGAATTCTCCGATCCTTTGGTCGACGCCGTGTGCATGCATGGTTGTTAATGGCCAAGATGTCTTTTAATCGTGCATCACACTATTACAATCCCAAACATGACTAACCAATTAGTCACCTTTCAAGAAAATATTTCCTATTTTTAATTTTTTATCAATACCCTAACATGTTCTTATATAACCCCATTGATGGAATCGTTTTCCTCATCCCACTTACAAACACAAAGAACACAACAAAAAAAAAAAAAAAACACACGAACTAGGTAAAAGGCATAAGGAAAGCCACACGCTCTGCAATGACGATCACACGCACCTCCTTTGCGATTTGCCTACTCCTCTCTTTGGCCACCATTGCCACTGCTGATTACTACGCCCCCTCATCTCCTCCGGTTTACACTTCACCGGTTAATAAACCCACGCTTCCACCTTCGGTTTACACTCCACCGGTTCAAAAACCTACCCTCCCACCTCCGGTTTACACTCCACCTGCACACAAGCCTACACTCTCACCTCCGGTTTACGCTAAGCCAACTCTACCTCCTCCGGCTTACACTCCACCGGTTTATACTAAGCCAACTCTACAAGCTCCTGTCTACACTCCACCGGTTTACAAGCCTACACTTTCACCTCCTGTTTACACTAAGCCAACTCTCTCACCTCCAGTTTACAAGCCTACACTCCCACCTCCGGTTTTCACTAAGCCAACTCTCTCACCTCCGGTTTACAAGCCTACACTCTCTCCTCCCGTTTACACAAAGCCAACTCTCTCACCTCCGGTTTACAAGCCTACACTCTCACCTCCGGTTTACACTAAGCCAACTCTCCATCCTCCGGTCTACAAAAAGTCTCCAAGCTTTTCTCCTCCACCTCCATATGTACCAAAACCAACCTACACTCCACCCACCAAGCCATACGTCCCTGAGATCATTAAAGCCGTTGATGGCATCATCTTATGCAAAAACGGCTACGAAAGCTACCCAATTCAAGGTATATAATTACATACTAATATAGACTTCATGATTAAAAATCTTTTATAACAATATTTTTGGTTTTATAACCTTGAAATTCGGGGATTACGCGGTTAATAATACTACGACATAAATCATCCCTCTTAAAAAGATTTGTACCGAGTGCATAATGGAAATTACAAATTTCTAATTAGAAAATTTGGTTGATTAATTTCGTGCAGGAGCAAAAGCAAAGATTGTGTGCTCCGAGATGGTATCATACGGGAAGAACAAGAACGAGGTTGTTATCTACAGCAATCCAACTGACTCTAAGGGATATTTCCACGTGGCGTTAACCCATATCAAGAACCTATCTCACTGCCGTGTCAAACTCTACACATCTCCGGTCGAGACTTGCAAGAACCCGACCAATGTCAACAAGGGTCTCACCGGAGTTCTCTTATCGATGTACTCCGACATTAACTTGAAACTCTTTAACGTCGGTCCTTTCTACTTCACCGGTTCCAAGGCTGCTCCCGCCACTCCCAAATACTAACCATCATCACATTATTATATGTGATCGCTATAATCAATTTATTGTTTGAAATTCTTTTTCCTTTGAAAATGTTATTTTTTGTTTCTTCCGATTTCATTTGATTCGTTACATTAGCATGCAATGCGTTCTATCTTTTTGTTTTATAGATTAAAATTATAAAGGGAACAATAATGTTTGATTATTGCGACTGAAATTTATGAAACATATTTAATATTAATGTGTATGTTTTTCGTAGATAAGTTACGCTGGTAACAATATTTTAGTACGTAGTCTCATGCTCCTGTCATTAACTATAGATTGACATGCATGGTACAATTGAATAATTGATTATCTAGGTCAATCTTGGTGCTATCAATATCATGCTATGTATGAGTATTTATATTTTATATAGTATATCTTTAACAATGACTTAGTTTGGCATCGTAAGAATTGTTACTAAACATTAGAGATTAAATATTTATAGGCTTGTAATAAACATTAAAAGTGAAAGAAATATTGAACTTTTTTTCATAGTGCGTGGAGAAAGCAAATTAACCATTCCGTTTAATTAGATTTTGATTTAACGGTTATAATTCCGATTTTATGTGGAAGAACTCTTTTTAGACCTCAAAGGCCGAAACATCCAATAACGAAAAGAATCATTCAATTCATATATAACTTTAGAAAATATCTTTATAATGATCCATGTAACGAGCGGGACGGTAGGCAGAAAGAGAATGTAAAGGCAAAACTACATCGAAGAATTCTAATGGGTTTTTTTTTGTGATTCTTAGGACACTAATTTTATCTCTGTAAAAAAACTTGTGTTAAATTTTGTTCTTTTCCGTTTGTTCAGTCTCTATATTGAAAGAAAAAAGCCTCTCTGTAGTATTTTTCTTCTTCATGATAAAATTCATTTGATTTTTCTTTCTTTGAAATCCGATAAATCTCCTTGGCAGAATTAAGTACTTTTCAAAATTTGCAATAAAAAAGAGGTTGAATATTTTTGTAATTAGATCATATATTTGTCCTTTCCGGACATCCAATAAAATTGGAACGATACACATCATATATTAAAATAGTCTTCAATCATATATTGAGACAAGCATAATGGTATATGTTCTCATCTTTTGTCTTCATCCTCCAACAACTTCGGTGGCTCCAATAGCGAGACGAATGAGCTTATCCATACGCAATGTCATCTCCATGAGACTCTTCGAAGTCAAGTCTTTGTTTTTCCCGATCAATTTCTGCACTAGGGTTGTTTGGTCGAAACAAACCATAGCATCATAGTTAGCGGTTTCTGGAGATATCTTGAGTTCTGAAGCAGCACTCTTGAGAGACATTACTATAAGAAAGTAGGCATCTCGGCACGCCTTGAACTGTTCCTTCAGAGCCGGTACCTTTTCTGCTGCTCTGTCTGCAGATTTCACCAACAACTTGGCATAGGGTATGTCAATGCCGCGGATCACGACTTCCGCAAGTGGGAGCTGTAGATTAAGAGATATAGTTTTTAAACTGGAATGTGCATATTATTGCTAAATATTTGATACTAAGAACGAGTCAAAAACATAATTGCCATTTAAATGTTAAGCTGTGAAAATTGTTTCACAACTTTTTAACATTTCACGACATTCATCATTCATAAATTTGATTTTGCTATATATTATGCACATGTTTACATAAAGATGATACATAAAATATAAGTTCGAAAATTCAATTAACAACCCCTACTTGTAAACGTATGATATAAAACATAAAATTAAAATATGCTATGCAAAAATTAAATATTTTAGTCCAAAAAAAGAAAAAGAAAACTAATTTAAGTTGGATATGTGGGTTTGATATTAATACCAAGCCAGTGGCAGAAGCGGCAAGAGGATATGCGCTCAACGTTTGCAAACAAAAGGCTTTGTCGTCGATGGATGGCATCTCGCATAATTTATCGATGTATTTTGTGGAGTTCAAGGTCGAAGATGAGACTACGAGAAATTGTAACAAAAAAGCCACTTGAAGAACGAAGAAACAATCAGAGAATGAAACCATTTCCTCTACTAATTGTATACAAATTGTGAATTTACTTTTTGATGTTCTTTCATTTACTTTATACCTTGCAAAGCGATTGACAGAAATTTTTGTTTATCATGATTTGTTAGCATCTATAGTAAAGAAAGAAATCTGACCAATATCTATTTTTCCTCATTATTTAGCATCTATAGTAAAGAAACAATTCAGCAAAAAAGTTTCATAATAATTCTCTAAATGGGTTGATAATACTCAAAAAATCAAACTACTATAGGCCCATATATCTTTTCTAAACAAAAAATGTATATATTATTATTTAAGATTTTACCAGCAACCTTTATACAGTGGATTTGAGTTTTTTTTTGTTGGCCATTTGATTTCATTGATAAAGCCCAAAAGGGCAGATTACAGAAGGTCCAACACAGAGGATTACAAACGAAATAACAGCCCATGCCCAAAACTAAATCATACTTTAATAAAAGATAAATATTAATGCGAATATGATTTAGCTGTTGACACGTGTGGAAGACGTGTTCTTCCCAACATTACACGTCAAGTCATCGAGTACCACCGTCAATTTCGTCGAACACCGCTGAAATTCCGATTAGCCACCACCGATCAGCCTTGGAGCGATGAGAATCCTCCTCCCTTATGCCGATCTAAAATCCAAGCCATAAGCGTCGAGAATCTTCCGGATCGAATAAAAAAAACCACTTCGAAATTCTCTGAGCAACACTAACTTCGGAGAAGCCCCACCACTGACCACACCCAAACTCTATGTAGTCTGATCTTTGCTCCTACTTCATGAGCAAAAAGAAGTGACGAAGATATTTCTTTTCTAAAAGATTAGAGGGATCAGATAGAATTTTAAAGAAAACGGAGACATCGACGGGCACAATTGGAAAAGAGATCAATCTTTGCTAGAGCGAGAGACAAAACCAGACGAATTCGGTAGCGAGAATCTGATATAAAGCTGGAAATTATTTAACTCGTACATAGACGAGAGTTAATACAACTCCGGACAAATCCGGAATAAAAAACAGGCCGACAGTAAGCTTCTCCTCTCTGAAATATTTTAGAGAGAGAAGAGAGGAGAAGCCTTAGCTTTTTTACCATGGATTTAATTAACACACCAAAAAGAAATTTCCAAACGGAAAACCTTAGCTATCTCGAATAATTATTAAAAATATAAATATAAAATAACAATTATATAAATAAACAGATCGATAGAAAATGAGTTTGGAGCCGTTTTTCTCTGAAGATTTCTTTCATTGGGAGTTAGATTCAAACGTGATCATGGAGTTCAAGAGGAGAGAAGCCATAAGAAGTTTTGATTGATTTTTTATTATTATTGATTTCGTTATTTTTCATAAATTGTTATTTTCAATTTTATACATTATTAAATAATTATGAGATGTGACTAAGAGTATTTCTAAATTTTCATTATTTGTGAAATTGAGTGTGTAAAATCAATGAAATTTTGCTACTTATATTGAATTTTTTTATTAGGTGGTATATTTTCGGAAAATATATATAATTTGTGTTTTTCTGTTACAGAAAATTTATTTAAGATATTTTTTGGGTTATTTGCCTCAAAAGAAAATATGATAAAACCGGTTATTTGTATATCCAAGGTAAAGCTTATCTTGTATATAGATGTTAAGTATGGGAAAATGTATGTAGAAGAAAGAATTAAGTTTAATATGGCTATAATAGATAAAGCTTAAATTGTATATCGATGTTAAGTATGAGCAAATGAATGTACCAGGAAGAATTAAGTTTAAGGATGGATGGAGCTAGGAGTCATGATGACTTAACTTTATCTAGCTGATCACACTCAATGTTTAGAGCTATGAGTCACTCAGGATGGTCAATTTTTTTATTAGAGTTCATATCATGATGGTTGGACTTATAATGGAATGGCATGTATGTTATAGCTTGTTTTTCATTTTTTTTTTCTTATCAAATTGTTATAGCTTGTTATGATATATGATTGCTAGAAGTATATCACAAAACGGGTTATTTGCATATATTAGGTAAAGTTTATCTTGTATATGATGTTAAGTATAAGATGGGTGGAATTACGAGTCACGATGACTAGATTTTATGTAGGAGTTTAAAGTCAGGATGATCAGGTTCGATGTTTGGATCTATGAGTCACTCATGAAGGTCAAACTTTTTAATAGGCATATATCAAGAACATTGGACTTAGAATGGAATGCCCATGTATGCTATATAGCTTGTCATGCTATATGATTTCTAGAAGTTTGTGTATTTTGATGATAGTTTTATAGCTTTTAAATATGTTCTATGTTTCGGTGGGCAGATTTGATTTTCTCAAAAAGTAATTCGTTACTCACCTTTTTTTTTTCCTTCCTCGAAGTCAACATAAGATATTTAAGTAGCTACACAAGTTTATCTCGCTTTTTTTCCTATGTTCTAGAATATAAATTTCAGAGGGATATTGAAACTACTTTCATAAACCTAAACGTTTATTTCTTACAATCTAATTAGTCAGATTTTGCCGCGAACTAAACTTGGGAGAAACACAATAATTTCTAATTTGAGAAACGCATAAGAACACTATAACTAATCTATCATCTTGCTATGAGACCAAACTTCGGCAAATATAAAATCAAAAAATTTAATCAACATTTTTAGTGGTTAGATTCAGAGCTGCGTGAATGCTAACGGATATCAGAAGCGATTAAAAGGTAAATACCCTAATCCAAATACTAAAACAAAAATGTCTACAATAATAAACATTATTATCGTCAAATAACATAACCAAAGAAAGAAACAAACTAGCAAACAAAATATTGGTTTTTAAACTTTTGTTTTCCCTTGTTCTCCACAAAAAACGTTTCTCACCAATTCTCTTTCGATGAAGAAAATAGCCAAGCCATTCAATCGTTCTTGTGACATACTCGAACGAAAATATGATTTCATCAAAATCAACGTTGAGAAACTTCTTTCAACAGATGGCCATGAAACTAGAATCGTCAACAGTATTTGTTAAGCGATGCATGAGTTTGGAAAAAATTTCAACTACTTTCAAATATTCTAATATTTCAATAGGTCTTTTAGTTTGTTTATGTAAACCTTCTTAGAATTAAGTTCAAAGAAAAGATCGTTTTTAACAACATCTAAATGCTTTCCATGGGTTAAAGAATAATTGGCACAAAAAGACATCAAACTATCATCACTCGCTAATTGCACTTTCCTGAAATCAAACAAAAAAAAATATTTTTACATACCTTTGAAATTACTCAAATTTTGTCTCAAGTGGAGTAGACCTGAAACCTCTCTTCGACTAATAATGTCACACTTCCCTCGACATTCTCTGATTCTTCACCATAATTTTTTTTTTCATATTGTACGAATTCGTCTTAGATCTGATCCGATCTAACTCTCAACTCACTCTTGAATCTCTCTCGATAGATCACTCTCAAACACACTAAAAAAAGAATACGAAAAGACTGTAAAGAACACACGAGACTTTAACAAGTTCAGCTCCAAACCGGAGCCTACGTCTGGCCGGAGATTCTCTCCGGAATTCACTAGATCGGTGTTTCTTTAGTTAGAGCTTTTGAGCTTCCGATTCTGTTACGATTACAACAACTTAAGAAGTGTAAAAGATACTCCCTCTGTATTCGTTTTGTTGTCGTTCTATCTAACTGTAATCACACATATTAAGAAAAAGTGTAAAATGACTTATTTAACCTCACCTAAACAACTACTCCTTTAACTTTTTATTTTGCCGACATAAATTAAAGTTTTGTCTTTGGTACTCCTCCGTAGAGAGCCAGAAAAAATGTTGACCATAGATTTGTCATCTGTTTTCGATTCGTTTTGATTCTTACTTTATCTTCTTCTTCTTCTCTTCTTCTTTTTGAATCTTTATCTTCTCACTTTTTTTTTCACTTTTGGGAAGCTCGAAGAGCTGAGGAGTGAGAGAGAGAGAAGGATCTTTGAAGTCGCCGGAATTGTTAAACCGGAGCTCCGACTATTCAACACAAACCCAAATCAATCTGCGTTTCTTCTCTCTTCGTCTACGATGACCTCGAAGAACAGTGGTTTGTCTGCCGCGCTTGTTTCGAATCTCCAAGATGTGCTTTCGAAAGAGAAAAGTAGGGAACGAGGAAAAAGTTGGGAACGATGGATCGGCGGATTGATTAATTATATCAATTAATTGAGGTTAATTTAGGAATGTTTATGTAAAAGTTGAATTGGGAGGTGTAAACGACATCTAATTATTAACAAAAAAAAAATGTGTAGAACGACAACAAAACGAATACAGAGGGAGTACTGATTAACAATAAAGAGAAAGAGCATTTATAACAGCTTCTAGAACTCCCATCTCGCATGTGTAAGCTCACACGTGCCCGAGTCAAAACTGCTATGACTGAAACCCTCTCCTCTTTCTAGAGTCTTCTCTGTACTTAGTGTAATCTCAGACTTGCTTTATGAGACACAAACCTTCACTTATAAACATATGCATTCCTTTTTTGAGAAATATAAGATCCATCTCCATATATTTTGCAATTTATTAGCATATGCTTTTGCTTTCTCAAAGCCTGAATATCTATATTTTTAAAAATAAGAAACCAACCACTTCAGTTGAGATATATCTACATTAATGTTCATGTTTTTTTTACTATAACTCTTACTCACAATGTTAACAAAATAAGTTTATATCAAATAACTACGGATACCTAGAATTCATAACTTCCAATTCTTTGTGTTTCACTTGTTGCAAGACATTCAGTGTTACTCTGCTCTTTCGTATCATCACTACTTTTAGTAATGTACACTAGCACATTCTTGATTTTAGGAGCCCAAAATCGTATTGTATCAACAATTTCAACATGGCTCTCCCAACGAATAAGAGATAAATGCTTAAGTGTTAACCATCCACGTGATCTTCAAATATTTTATGCCGCTTAATTGATTTTTTTTTTAAAACAAAGCAATAAGTATGCTAAAAATTTTTAAAAAATGAGATTGTCTTTTAATAAGTGGTTGACATATCACAAAGTGCAAGATTCAAATTGTGACAACTACATCTTCAAATTTGGTGATCAGAACTCTTCCAACAAATGTTAAAATTCTCAAATACATAAGCTATCATGTTTTTCAAGATGTTTGTTTAGAATCATTTTTATCATTGGTGTCCAGATACCACCGAATACGGGACAAGTAAGTAGTTGAAAAAACTGATATACGATACCCGATTCTTATTCGCATATGATAAAATTGAAATATATTTTATCTCATCCGAAAGCTAAGAATATTTGTTTTTCTAGAGACAAGTAGGAATCAGATATAAAATAGAGGATGAACATATATTTCTTTATTTTTAAAGGAAAAAAATGTATTACTCTTATTATATTTATTATTGTTTTTAACATAAAAAGTCATTATGAAATGAAACCTCAACATACGAGTCACCTGTAAGACCAAGATTTCTACGGTGTGTTAAAATTTAATAATTTCAATGTATAATGGTAAAAACTAGAAGTAAGATACAACAATCCATAAAGCAAACAATTTTCGACATTCAATTTTCTTTCAAAATGAATTTCAATTTGAAATGTTGCAAAAAAAAAGTCCAACGCAATATGTTAAAATAAATTCCATCAGTCT